TTATACAAATAATTCTAAGAAAATTTCGATGAAGAATGTATTACAAGACCCGGGTCTTCTATTATGAATTTCACATAATATTCCAAAAGGGGTCTTCTATTATGGGAGGGTCTTGTAATATATGGGGGTCTTCTATTATGAGGGGGGGGGGGGTTTACTCACAATTGCAATTTCCTTTTTTCTGCTGACAATATTTTATTTGTGTTAGCCTTTGCCCATTAATGTCAATGTTCGAAGTAAATTATTTAATACCTTTATGTTGCTATCTATCGATATTTTTTTATTTTACTTTGGAGAATCATGTTTTGAACAGACAGAATTGCTCTATGAAAGATTTATTATTATATAGAAGGATATAATAGAATTAAAATCTGAACAAAAACCTGTAAGTCTTGAATTGAGCAGTGTCAACATTCAGGTCGTTTAGAATTGAAAGATAACAACGAAACTGGCCTGCTAAAGAAGAATCTTTTATGATTTCGTTTCACATTGCATACTTCGAAGGTGTTTCACCCAAATATTTCTGCTAAAATTCTGAAACATGTATCAATAAATGTTAAATTTTGTAAGATAATAGAACTTTCAGCTGAAGTCTCTTTTGAGAGTTCTGATGATTTTAGCTATAAGTAAATGTATTTTCAGGATAAATGGGAGAGTTTTGGGAGAGAAAAGATAGAATTTCAGCAACGATAGTGATAATGACGTTTTATTCTTAAGAAGATTTCGAAATATATATTTGATTATCGTTGGAAACTAATAAAATATGCAGAAGGATTTTAAAGGAAAACTCAAGGAGGAAAAAGCAGATTTTGGTCTCTAAAATCTCCATTATCCTTCTTGCTTTGCGTTCTCCATAAATCAGATTTTGGAAATATCAGGCTGTTGACCGAATCTTTTTTCTGCCTGAGATTTCTGTCTCATCGGTGTTCACTTCTTCTTCTTTGAAATTGGGCAATCAGCTGCTCTAATTTTCAATCAAGAAATGTGTTATTTTTAATCCAAGGTTTTTATAGAGAGGGACAGAATGTTATTTGGACCAATTGTAAGAACAATAGTATAATCTATTCAAAAAAGGAGGACTTTATAAGGAGAGCGGCTAGCCGTTGATATCAGTGGTTCAGTGCAGATATGCTGCAGGCAATATCTGTATAGCATAGGGCATGTTTCATGAGAATATCAGACTAAGATTCGGTTTAGGATGAAGTGCAATATAATGCAACCTATGAGAAAAAGCAACGGAAATATTTATGTTTCAAAGTGTTACTTTTTCAGCTCGCATGCTTTCACTATCCTTGAGATGCACTTTTTTAAGAAGCGTTGGAATATGCATTTTTCAATAAGGATACAAAAATCAACGCAAAAAACGTCTATTTTACGATGTATTTTACTAATATAGTGCGCAGTTTTTGCTTGCATAATCGTAGACAATTCTTTCCACAAGAATTACCAAGAGGTACCTGTTGAACTGCTAAGTTCGTTAGAACTGTCTAAAAAGTCAAGCGCAAAATAAGTCTCTTGAGTATTCCCAAAAAATTACTTTCTTGAATGTTATGAATCTTTCACTCTCATAAATTCGAGATCAGTTTATTTGATTTCATCATCACAGAAACATTTCATATGTGAATAATCTGCAAGGTTTCTTTCCACTTTATATTTTCTGATATGACTAGAATAAAAACAAAATAAGCGTTCACCGAGTTTTATTACGGTGTCGGAGCAGTGATCAATGGTACACATATCTAAGTAAACAGCAGTAATATTATTACTGTCGAATTTTGAACATCTAATACCTATAAATGAAACGTCATGATATAAACCCAATCAATAAAATTCATTTACTTACTAGTTTTCTTTGACATATGGAATTTATAGCTCTTGTCTAAAAAGATCTGCAAAGAGGTTAACACTATGTTTTTAATAGTACATAAGTCGAAATTATCGAATTTCATCTGATAGTGGCATCGATTGAATTATTATGCATTTTCCTAAACATTGATGTGACATTCCGGCTGATCTAAACTTAGTCATATTAAACAATAACTACATGTGATATTGGTTTCTTATAGTGTTTTGAAATTATACACATAAAAACAAACCTTTTCTTTTGTTAACCAAGGTCTCGAAGGAAAGAAAGAAAAATGAGTCAAGTGATATCGTTTTTCCCTGTTTTTCATTGTGCGTACATCATCAAAAATAATAGAGTAAAACTCTACGCACTAAAAAGAAAAAGGTAAGCAACGAAGGGCATATGGGACATAGGTATCTGTGTAAATGTGGATAAAGTATGGTTGTTTATCTTCCTTTCACAGAAAACCACCTCCATATCCTATTTTCAACAAAAAACTTTACTTAATTGAATTTCTTCTCCAAACTTTTTAAATAACATAATTGGCATCAACTTAAATCTGACCAATACTCCGAACATTCCCAGGAAAGAAAAAAGTAGCAATATGATATTATACATCTACTCTACACAAAGTTTTACAGTAACACAACATCAGAAAATTTGTAGCATATCAAGTGCTTGGCAAAGTGATCAATACACGTCTGCAAGCAAGTGATTAAATGATAAAATGTTTCACCAGTATTTATGACAGCATGTTTAAAAAGTCTTTTGTTTTTTAACTGAGTTCTAATCTAAAAAGAGCTTCGACTCTAACATAGACGTGGGCACAAAAAATATTTTTCTTTTGCCAAGCTTTTACTAATTTTGTCAATAGAGACGAAAAAGCCAAATATATTTACCTTGTGCTCTTGACAAAGTTCGAAAGATGATATTTGTAGAGCTGCATCGATAATCTTCTTTTGTTTTGACTACATCTTGTCATTGATAATCGAGATCAAATCCTGTGAAGCTATGCATCCTTCCTTTTGGAATTTGCTCTTATTCATTGTAGTAGTAATTGTTTTCACAGATGTGGATTCCAGCACTCAAAATCAAGAGCATATGAGCAATAATCTTCTTGGTCGATTGCATGCGATGCAGGCCGAACTGACTTTCATTCGTCAGGATATACATGCTTATCCAGAGACGGCAATGAAAGAAGTACGTACCTCTGCTATGGTTGCTGCTAAACTTAGACAATGGGGTATAAGTGTCACTGAAGAAGTAGGCAATCTAGGTGTAGTCGGCACTTTGAAAAGTAACAAACCAGGTAATCGTTCTATTGGCCTGCGTGCTGATATGGATGCTCTTGAAGTCATTGAAAAGAACGATTTGTCTTATGCTTCGACGATTCCTGGTATCATGCATGCTTGTGGTCATGATGGACATGCTACAATGTTACTTGGTGCAGCTAAATATCTATCAGAGAATCGAGATTCATTTTCTGGAACTGTTTATTTTATTTTTCAACCTGCTGAAGAAAAATATAGTGGCGCCATAGCTATGATAAAAGATAGACTTTTTGACCGATTTCCAATGGATGCAATCTATGGATTACATAATATTGTAGGTTTACCAGTTGGGCAATTCGCCATTCGATCAGGTCCAATGATGGCAGCAGCCGATACTTGGACTGTTACATTTCGAGGTACTGGTGGTCATGGTGCGACCCCACATTTAGCTATAGATGTGACTGTGGTACTAGCACAATTCATTGTAGCATTGCAGACAATCGTTAGTCGTAATATTGCAGCGACAGATACAGGTGTTGTAAGTGTCGGTGCCATTCAAAGTGGATTTTTCGAATCATTGAATGTGTTACCATCAGAAGTTCGTGTTGGTGGTACTGTTCGTAGTTTTACGAAAGAGGTACGAGATATAATTGAACGACGTATCAATGAGTTGGCACATGGTATTGCTACTAGCTTTGGATGCATAGCTGAAGTGATATTCAATCGACAAGGACTTGCACTTGTTAATGATATTCAGTCTACTAAACGAGCCATTAAAGTAGCTGAAAGTCTCGTAAGCGCCGAAAACGTCGATTCGAACACAACACCAGTAACGAACGCAGAAGATTTTGCTGAAATGCTTGAACGAAAACCAGGTGCCCATATGTTTATAGGAAATGGACAGCAGTCTGGTGGACTTCATTCGCCAACGTACAATTTCAATGATGATACTATTATTCTTGGCGTGGGCTATTGGATTAGTCTAGTACAACAAGAACTTCAAAATGAACTTCATGTATCTGCATTGTAATCTTTTAAAAGATTATCATTCGCTATTTCATTGTAAGGCGGTATAATGCAAATGTATCCATGCTGGACTACAAAAATGTTTACTTTGACTTTAGATGCTAAGTGTGAATTTGGGTATGAGAGTGTATGCGAACTATAGTATGAGTTTTAGAAGGGTGTAAATGAATGCTTACACCCACACTAGTAAGCGGGAATATTTATTTGAGCAGTGAATTCTGCACTACGATCTTGTTAATTCATGTCAAAGAAAGGGAAAGAAAAATTAAGCAACAAATAAATGTTAACATCAAGCTTACATGCAATCAATATCATCATTTTTAGTTCTCTCGATGAGTCCATCGAAACTTGTTGTAGAGATATCATGTTGCTACGTTGATTTAGTGGATGACTATTCCAGAACTACCCTCCCATCTCTTAATGTTCAAACTTTGTTATTTCCATGAATTTATGAGATCGATGCAGAGCTCATGAAATACATCGGCAAAAAATTGAATTTTATTGATTAGGAACTGTTTCGTTTGTTTGCATTGGTTGTATAGACTTAAAATACATACGAAATTTAAAAAAAATTTTGCCAACAAGTGTATCGGTTGATGCATTTTCCGGTGAATCATCAGTTTGTAATATAGAAAATCTAGTAATATAGAGAAAAAAATAGTCAGACCCAAAGCGTAGTCGCTTACATCCTGATGACACATCAATATCAATATGAATACAACTTGATTCAAAAGTTATTCTTTCGAAAAGATTTCTGTTAATTGCCATATTAGTCTTTTTAATTGTTTATAACTATTTTCATTATCATCAAGTAACGATGCTGATATATGCGTTATAAATATAATAATATCTCCCATAGACTTATCGCCCGTTGGAGGCGATGCTAAAGGGTTCACATCAGCATCTAGGTTCTTTCGTCTTTTTCTTTTTACGGACGACGGTATCTGCACCCATTCCGTTCAAAGCTTCTCCGTGTATGAATTTCTCGTTGGTAATCAACATATGAATCACAAGATTGTGACATCTATGTTGGAGTTGTGGTTTTACTCTGCATATTGACTAATGACGTAATCAACACGCTATCGGATGAGTCATTCGAAACAAATAGCCGTTAGTGACTTGTTCAGGGTCATTCCATGGATGATGCTAATGACGTTTGAACACAGTGCCTTGTGGATACGTGTCGAACAACGTAACCACTCAACCATGACGGCTAATATACGTGTTAGCAAACAAAAATGCGGATTATGTGTTCGAATGACACCGTAATTGAATTAAATTAGTATAATCGATGGACTATCTATCCTACAGTATCAGATGTGGATGTACGTATACAGAAGACTCACATCCACACCTTTAGTATGTGTGAAGCAGATAAGTTCAATAATTATCCTCGTGATGAACTTCTCGCTTCTTCGTGCAACAAATTGCATGGATGTTCAGTTATATCATGAGACTTTTATAGATATTCTGATATGTTTGTGCTTTTAATTGTGAGGGTACTGTCATCTTTTTAACTTTTTATCATAACTTGTGTTATCCGGAAAACATTCAACTAAAAAATAACATACATGTGGCCAAATTCTTCATCATATCTGCATAAGTGAGAGATTAACATATTAAACGCGCAACCTTGCAGGATAGGTGAATCAAAAGAAATTTATTCAAACAAAACTATCTTTCAGACTTGGCCAATTATAGATGATTTTTATTTTAAGAAATTTTTTGTTTAGCTGAACTTCCTACATGAACTATTGAAGCGTCTATTTGTAGTCAATAATGAAATTTAACTTTTTTGTTTTAGATTCTTCTACATGAACTATTAAATGATTATATTTTTTTTAATATTAAATTTATTTCTTTTTCTTGTCTCTCAGATTCCTGTCAATCAACGCATGAATGGTAAATTGACTTTGAATAATAAATTTGTTTTAGTTTTTTCTTTCAGATTCCTTTCAATGAGCAACTAACTGGTAAGGGTGTTTTTAATAAGTAGTAAATTTAATGTTTCTAATTTAAATTCCTGTAAATGGACGACAAAGTGTTGAATTTCAATAATAAATTCATTCGTTTTGTTTCATTAAATTCATGTTGATGAGCAACTGAACGGTACAGTTTTTATCAGTAGTAAATTCAAATCGTTTCGTTTGGATTCATTTCATCAGCTGTTGAATCGTAAGTTTGATTTAAATAGCTAATCTACTTTTTTTCTCTTCTAGATTGATGTCGGTTCAATATTGAATAGTAAATTTGATTTTATAAAATGAACGTTTGTCGTCGCTATTTGGAGTGATGCTACGTGAAAATAGTGACCTAACTTCGAAACTAGAAGTTGATAGCATTCAGAAATTCCTGAGAAAGCTGAGATGGTTAAGAGCGAAATGCTTCATCCCTACAAAGGCTCTTGAGAATGTGGGTTACCACAGAAATTCTGAATTGGTCTCCGACTAGTGCCTTAGTGCTCTTTGATCTCATGTCTTAACGTATACCCTGTGACTCATGAACTCTTATTGGAGCCTTACACTAAACACTACATTCAAAGAAGACTAAAATGTATGCTTTCTACCTATCTTAGTTGTGCACTTTTCTATAAATGTATTTTCCTTTGGGACAGTTTTCATTAAAGAAACAGCTACTGGTTTGGTCAGTTTTTTTGTGTTGATTATGTAAAGCAAATTTCGGAAAAGCATAAATTGCTTCTCTTAAAATGAGCATCATTTATCCAAATAGCGTAGCTGTACACAAAAACAAGAGTATGCAGAATTCTTCTTCCATTATCTGTTTCCTTTTTCTGTTAGGTTTTTTTTCTCCTCTTCTGTCATATTTTTGTCCTGGAAAT